GTGGGGGTGGATGGGTGTGGATGGGTTTGGATGGGTGTGGATGGGTTTGGATGGGTGTGGATGGGTTTGGATGGGTGTGGATGGGTTTGGATGGGTTTGGATGGGTGTGGATGGGTTTGGATGGGTTTGGATGGGTTTGGATGGGTTTGGATGGGTTTGGATGGGTTTGGATGTGTGGGTTTTGAATGCTATGCAGGAGTCTGGGATATCCAAGGGGAATGTGTGTTCTTAGATTGCATTCTGAGAATCACCTCCGTCTCTCCGCCGAGTCTTGGCTGTTAAGTTGAGCTAGCCTCACTTCCATGTCCGCCCGTCCTCTTTCTGTCCTTTCCTTCCCCAGGTCTTGTTCTACGCCCTCAACTGTGTCCTCTGTAACCTCATACAGAACCCCAGCTTCACAATCCCTCTTTGTTGGAGTGCTCCCAACCCCTAAGTTATGTAGCTGGGCAGATTCCCTGGTCCCCAGTTCTTTTCCCTGATTTTGAGCCCCTGCCCCTGATGTGGTGCTGGCCTTCTCTTCCCCTCAGCGCAGGCACTGGCCGCACAGGCTGCTACATCGTCCTGGACGTGATGTTGGACATGGCTGAGTGTGAGGGCGTCGTGGACATTTACAACTGTGTGAAGACCCTCTGTTCTCGGCGGGTCAACATGATCCAGACTGAGGTTCAGACCAGCCCTGTCCCCGACCTCTCCCCTCCATCTAGGTCTCAGGGTCTCTGTCATGGAGCGCAGAGCTGGGGTAACGTGTCTTCAGAGCATCCTAGGCCCTTCCTTCCCGGGGACCATCTCAAACATGGCAGTGGGGGGTTGGGGGGGTCTTGTAGTTCTCTCCAAATCTCACTTCATGGTGTTGTGTCAGGTGAGTCAGAAGGCGGCGGCGGGCTCCAGAGTCACGTGTACCAGGGTTTGTGCCCTCACTAGATCTGGGATCTTGGACTGTCCCTCAGCGCTCAGATGATCTCCTGGGAATGTTCCTGGGATGTAGTAGATGAGCTGATGCGATGGTTGGACCCAGCCAAGCATCCTTGCCGCAGCTGTGGCTATGTTTTTCCTTCATCCTTGGTAGAGCTCAGCTTCAAGCCTTCTCTTTGTTCTTACATTCTCATCTCTTGTTCTAGGAACAATACATCTTCATCCATGATGCAATCCTGGAGGCCTGCCTGTGCGGGGAGACTACCATCCCTGTCAATGAGTTCAAGGCCACCTACAGGGAGATGATCCGAATTGACCCTCAGAGTAATTCCTCCCAGCTTCGGGAAGAATTCCAGGTAGGGGGATGTGTGTATGGGTGTGAGGAGTGGGTGTATGTGTAAAGCTGGGTGTGTGTATGCAGGGCATGGTTGTACATGTATAGGAGTGGGGTGTGTGAGAATCTATAGGGTTGTGTGTGTATGTGTATAGGAGTGGGGTTTGGATGTGTATGTATGTAGGTGCAGGGCGTGTGAATATGTGTATGCATAGATGCGGGGTATGTGAGTATGTATGTGTGTTTGTGTGTAGGTGTGGGGCGTATGAGCCTGTATATAGGAGTGGGGTGTGTGTGTGTGTGTGTAGGAGTTTGGTGTGTGTGAATGGAAGTAGGGTGTGTGTATAAAGGTGTGAGGGTGTATATAGAAGTGGGGTGCGTGTGTGTGTGTGTGTGTGTGTAAGTGTGGTGTGTGTGCGTGTGCATTGGACTGTAACTATCAAGGGTGAATCAGGAAGCACTGATCTGAGACCCAGCTTGAGGGACAGAGTCGGGTGACTGGAAAGGACTTTGAGACAGTGAAAGACATGTGTCAGAGCAGTTGTGACCCAGGCTTTTGGGGTCAGATACATGTGGGTTTGGATCCTGGCTTACCCTGAGGAGCTGTGGAGAGCCTGGACAAGTCACCTCACCTCTCTAAGCTCTTGTTTTCACCACCTAGGAGAGAAAGGGAGTTCCCATGGCCCTTCGGGTGTGTAGCCACCAGGTTTCTCCTGGTGTCCTAAGAAAACTAGCTCAGGGGCTCCAGCAACTGCAAGGTGTGATGGTGCCATCAGTTAGAACTGGATCCAGGGACTCAAGTGACAATGCTATACTTGGTCTCTACCCATCCTTGGTTCTGCTGTTTTTGTTTGTTTTGCTTTTGAGACAGTGTCTTATGTAGCCCAGCCTGGTCCTGAACTTGTGTAGACAGGGATGACCTGAGTCATCCTGAGTTCCTGATACTTCTGCCTTTACCCCCCTAGTGCTGTAATTATAGGTGTGCACCACCAGCTCAGAAATGTGTGTGTCGGGGGCGGGGGGTTGAGGAGAACCTTAGGTGCTGATCCTCAGGTACTGTCTGCATTATTATTATTATTATTATTATTATTATTATTATTATTATTTGAGAGAAGGTCTTTCAAGGGTAAGACCAGTAACCCAGGCTGGTGGCCAATGAGTCCCGGGGGCCTGGGGGTCTGCCTGTCTCCTTTTCCTATTACTGGGATGAAAAGTTTGTGCCACCATGTTTAGCTTTTTATTTTATTGTTATTTTTTAAATATATGGTCCTCATGGTATACCCATGATAGACCCAGGCTCTGGTGGTCTGTTTTGGGTGGGGCCAGGCTCACCATGCCGCAGGCTTCTCTCCAGAGGAATCTGCTGACGTCTGGGTGCCAGAGACCCGGGGGTTCCCTCCACTCAGGGTTCCCATGTTCCCTTAGCCATATGGCACCTGCCAATTGTGGCATTCTGGAGCCAGTGTAGGGTGACCTAGGAAATGTGGCTGGGGATTCCTGGAGAGAGGTATTAGCTTTTGGGATCATGACAGACTTGGGGTCCTGGGAGGGATCCCCAAGAATAAAAGAAACTGAAACTCTGGTACATGAAGCCTGAAGGTGGGGTGTAGAGATGTCACAGCCCTGGCTAGGACCTGTGCCAGGTGCTTAACATTACAGTCTGTCTAGACAGAGCTGTGACCAAAGCTTCTGCCTCCTGTCTGGGGTTGGCTGTAGGGAAGAGGTGAGGCTCAGGCTTGCATCTTTGAAAGCACTGACAGGCCGATGCTGGTTCTCTCTGGGCCTGCCACACACCAGGCTGTGCTCAGTGCCTGGCATGGTCTCATTTTGGAGATCTCATGATCTCCAGGTGCCCTACGAAAAAGGTGCATCATTTTCCCATTTTACAAGTGAGAAAAGTAAGCCACTTATCCAAGGCCACACTGGCTCAGGGTGACAGATGCTCATCCCAAAGCTCAGTCTACGTCCTCCGTGGCCTGGTGATAGGCAGCTTGGCTCCCTAACTTCTTTCTCTCTGGGCCTCAGTTTCTCCATTCATAACACAGAGTTAATTATCTAGCTTAAGGTCCTTTGTGGAGTTGGGAGGGGGCCCCAAAAGCCCCGGCTATGCTCTCTCCTCACCTCCCTCTCGGCAGACGCTGAACTCGGTCACGCCGCCGCTGGACGTGGAGGAGTGCAGCATCGCCCTGCTGCCCCGGAACCGCGACAAAAACCGCAGCATGGATGTGCTGCCCCCGGACCGCTGCCTGCCCTTCCTGATCTCCACCGACGGGGACCCTAACAACTACATCAACGCAGCCCTGACCGACGTGAGAGCTCAAGGCTGCAGTGGCTCTGGAACTCCCCCTCCTGGGAGGACCCAGGAGTCAATGGAGCAGAACCGAGGGCTTTGGTAGAGGGGACCCCCCCATGCCCATTCAGTGATCCAGGCCCATGGGAGACCCTCTTACCCCATCGGTCTTCTACTGTGGACATTCAGTGCCCCCCTTCTGGCATTATAGTCAGCTTCAGTGTGGATCTGGGTGGTGGAGTTCAGGTGGGGCTGTCTCCAGGATCAGCCCTTGCAGAGCCTGGGGTAGGGTGACTTTGACTGGGGATCCTTGAGGATTTGAGGTCAGGACTTGATACCTGATATTTAGAGCTAGAGGAGTCTGTTCTGAGCCAATGAGGCTGTACCCAGCTCCAGGACCTGGTCTGGAGTAGTGATTTGACCCCTGGTCCTTGTTTAATTGTGATCTGAGGGCACAGGAACCACTAGTAGACCCATCGCCTGTCCCTGGACCAAGGGACTTCACCCTCTTTACTGGGCATTGCAAACAGAACAGGACATGGGTGCTGTGGCTTGGGGGACCGAGGAGGAAGAGTCTATGATGGACAGGCAGAAACAAATGTTGCAGAAAAGGGGGGAGAATGTGGCTTTGCATATGTAGCCAAATAGGCTGTGTGTGGCTTGGGCCCTCTGCCAGGCTGACTTGCCCTCCTAGACACATCAGGGACAGGCCATCATGGGGACGAGGAGTGAGCAGTGACAACACATGTTGCTAAGAGGAAAGAGTCAAAGACAGTGAATGATCAGGGGACAGATAAGTGAAGGGAGCCGGGCCAGGCGCAGCACAACTGGAAGACCTCCATGTAGGGAGGAGAGAAGGGTGACACACGGGAGAGGCTCTCAGTCACCATTATCCAGCCCAGGCCATGTGTGTGCATGTACATGCTCCCACTGGCTCACTTAAGTGGGTGTCTGGGCCTGGTGAAGCGTCCTATTTGCATAGTTTAGAACAGAGGCTTAGGGTTTCATGACCTCCCTTCTATCCCCCGCCCCGACTTTCGCCTCGGTGTACCATGTGTATCCTGGGGGCTGGAGGGGCAGCTCTGGAGTGTCTGGCTAGGGAAGGTCATGGGTGGAAATGGGCAGCTGGGGGAAGAAGCTACAGAACACCCTTGGTCCCTCGGGCCCCCAGATACCTGATTTCAGCCATGCGTAGTGGGCCTGGCATCCAAGAGGACTGATTCTCAGATGCCAGTGGGTTTGTCTGAGGCAAGGGGTCTGCCAGAGTCTGTCTGGGGTGGTCCAGTCTGTAGGGAAGCCTCAGGTCACCTATGTCTAAGTATTGGCTTCTCGGAGGTACTGGTCAGGGCCATAGAGGCCTCGCTGAGTGCCGTTTCCCCTGCAGAGCTACACGCGGAGCGCAGCCTTCATCGTGACCCTGCACCCACTGCAGAGTACCACACCTGACTTCTGGCGGCTGGTCTACGACTATGGGTGCACCTCCATTGTCATGCTCAACCAGCTTAACCAGTCCAACTCCGCCTGGGTGAGGCTGGCCAGGGCCTCAGTGCATGTACAGCCACTGTCCCCAAAGTCAAGAGCAGGAGCCCAGTTTGTTCTGAGTCACACTCCCTCTCAGGGCCTTGGTTTCCTAATCTATAAACAAGCTTTTCAGATGGAACCAACTCTCTCATTTTTAGTGAGCACCTAATGTAAGCCAAGGACTGTTGTGTGTACTTGGTCTCGTTTACAACTGACAGTGGCCTCTGGATGGAGGCTCCAGGGGAGAAAAAGAATTAAGACCCACAGAGAGGAGGTGCTTCCTTCAAGGTCCTATAGTGGGAGGTGGCAGTACTGTGCTCCCCCACCGTGGAGTGCTCCATTCAGAGTTTCTGCTTTTGAAGTAGTACCCCTAAACTACCCACCCCAGGGTCTTGGAGGTAAAACAAATTATAGCCTGCTGCTTTGTCTTTGACTCAGGGTAGGCTGTTACCTCTTTATGCCTGTGTGCATGTGTGTGTCACACAGGGCCTCCTCTGCCCAGCTCCTGTCTCTAATGTGGTCTACAGGGGAAGTGTGGGCAATGAAGCCATGTCCTAGCATCAGGGCCATCCTATATCAGAGCTGGGCTCGAAGATGGCAAGGAGGAGGCATTGTTGGTTTGGGATGGGTGGGGTTATCCCTGCCCCTTTTCAGAGGAAGGCAACATGGTGCAGGAGTCCATGAACACATGTGTATGGAATATAGTTAGCACGTTAGAGCGGAGGTTTCCATCCACATCACCATGGAGATCGAGACACTCTCTGTGAAGTTTGCTGTGACCACTCTGAATGTGCCATTGCTCTGGGCAGTTGTCTTTGTGTTCTGATGGGTGAATGGTGGAGAGATAGGTGTGCCAAGCACTGAGCCATGGTGGAATCCCCAGAGCTGGCATTGTGTGGGGACTGGCTCTGGTCTACACAGCTTTCTCTCTGTGTCCCAGCCCTGCCTGCAGTACTGGCCAGAGCCAGGCCGGCAGCAGTATGGCCTCATGGAGGTAGAATTTGTGTCCGGCACAGCAAATGAGGATTTGGTGGCCCGAGTGTTCCGGGTGCAGAACACTTCTCGGGTGAGTGTCCTGAGGAACCCAGGGGTGAAAATCTGGGTGGTGGCCAGGGTTACCTTTAGGGACCTTCTGGAGGTCATCAAGGGCTCATTCATGCTCCTATTTCTCCGTCTGGCTGCTGTGCCCCTAGCTGCAGGAGGGTCACCTGCTGGTTCGGCACTTCCAGTTCCTGCGCTGGTCTGCTTACCGGGACACACCTGACTCCAGGAAGGCCTTCCTGCACCTGTTGGCTGAGGTGGACAAGTGGCAGGCGGAGAGTGGGGACGGGCGCACTGTGGTGCATTGTCTGTGAGTGCTCCCTGGTATGAGGGTGGGTGAAGGGCTGGAGACTGACAGGCCCCTGGGGCTAGCACACAGGAGTCCAGCCTCCAGGGGTTGTGGCCTGGACTCTCCAGCTAGCTGAGTTTAATGAGAGTCTCATCAGAATTCCTTACCCTGCGAGATTTATAGCATATTTAGATTTGTTTTTCATTTGTATGTGCGTGTGTATATAATATGTGGGTCTGGAGGTCAGAGGACAACTTTATGGAGTTGGTTCTCAGTCCCTGCCTTTACTTGGGCTCTGGGACTCAAACCCAGGTCACCAGGCTTGCGTGGCAAATGCCTTTACTCACTGAGGTATCCTGCTGGCTCCATGTAGCATGCTTTACAATCTTTAAAAAATTATACTTTATTTAATGTGTGTGTGCGCGCACGCGCGTGCATGCAAGCCCACCTATGTTCAGGTATGCGAGTGTGCATGCACATGCGCTCACACATGTGTTTATGTGTGACAGTGTGTGCATGGAGGTCAGGGGACAACTTGCATGAGTCTGCTCTTTTTTTTTCACCATGCAGGTCCTGGGGAAGTGAGCTCAGGTCATTGGTCTTGGTGGCAAGCACGCTTGCCCACTGAGCCATCTTGTTGGCTCCATGTAACATACTCTTTATGGCAGTGGGATTCTAGACTTTGTTTATTCATGTACACCTGCAGCACTTTCTTTCGCAAGTATATTCATTCACTTATATGCGCCTCCATTCAGAAATGCATGTTTTCATTCATGTTTGGGTACACTCACGTCTTTTTCATGCTTCTTGCACTCTGGGAGTCTCTCAATGCCAGGCCTCAGGCCGTGTCCTCTGAGGGCTTGCCTTTAGTTCTAGTGAGAGACTTCTGCCGCAGGAAGCCAAGGGGTGATTAATCTCCCATTTCACAGGAGGCTCATGTTGGGTCACAGGAACAGGGGCAAGCGGAGGAGAGGATCCCTGGTGACCACAGCTAGGCTCAGTGCTTGTGTTTGGCTGTGTATCTCCATTGTTGGTCCTGGCTGGTCTTCCCATCTTGCTTTGGGGCTTGTTTGCCTCTGGGCCTTCCCTTCTGTCATTTTCTTTTGAAGTATGGTTGTATCTTTTCTCTAGGAATCTACAGGCCAGTCCTTTCTGAGGATATCTTCTGATATGATGCGTGGTTTTGGATATCATTCTCAACCCTGAGCTATCTTTTTAGCTTTCTGGTCCTAGGGCTGGCTTCTGGGGTTCTCTTCTCATCCCTCGGCTCCCTATCCACCCTCCATGGCTCCTTAGTGTTACCCTCACCTTTGGCCTCTCTGACTTAGCCCCTGCCTTTTGATTGCCTAGCTCCACCCCTCACCCTTGAGTTTCCAAGTCCTGCCCCAAACCTTTTCTGTGTTTCCTTTAGAAACGGGGGTGGCCGAAGTGGTACCTTCTGTGCCTGTGCCACGGTCTTGGAGATGATCCGCTGTCACAGCCTAGTGGATGTTTTCTTTGCTGCCAAAACACTTCGGAATTACAAGCCCAATATGGTGGAGACCATGGTGAGGAGCCATGTCCCAAGCACAGCCACTTCAGCTCCCATCCAAGCCCCACCAGGTTCCTTAGTACCTACGCACTCCTGTCTGGTCCCCAACTTTGGGTCTCTGTTCTAGTCCTGGGTTGTTAGAATATCATCCTCATTTCCCTTTCTCCAGAGGGTGGTCAGAGCTCAAGGTGCTCTCTTTCCCCAGGATCAATACCACTTCTGCTACGATGTGGCCCTGGAATACCTGGAGGCTCTGGAATTGAGATAGCAGGCGCCTGGCCTGGGGCACCCACTGAGCACCCAGGGCATGGCTCATCATCCCAGACTGGAGAGGAGGGCCTGTGCCCCCAACTTTGCTCAGCCATAATTCTACAAGGAGAACACTGGAGTGGACGCTGCACTATCTTGGTGGCCCCCATGGGCAGGCTGCGGGCCAAGGAGGAGCTTTGCAAGACTACAGGACTGCAGCCAGCCCCACCTCCAGAGGGCCTTGCAGACCTGTGCTGAGAAACCTGGGACGGTGAAACTGGCCAGAACAGCCAGTACTGGGGACCCCAGGCCAGGCCCCTCCACTCCATTCCAGTCCTTGGCAAGAAATGAATGAGGGCTGCGAGAGAGTGTTCAAGGTTTGCACTCAGTGTGGCCCCCTTCTGCACATGGTGGAGGCTCACTGGGCTTGGCAGGGGCTGAGTCCCACCTGGCTTAGCCCCTGAGAGTCCTGAAGCTGGGACTCTTCACCGTCTTGCCAGTGGGACACGCTGACCCTCCTGCGGCTCTGTTCTCCATCCCACTGCCCCTGCAGACCCGGGGGTGCTTTGCTCGCCATGCTTTCCTACTTCTGCTTCTGAGCTTCCTGCAACAGGGCCTGCGCCTCCCTCCTGGGCTCCATCCCTGCCTGGCCCAGTATGTGCAGAATATCTCCTCAGCTCCTTCTTTCCTAGCCTTCAGGCCTCCATGGCTCAGTCCTGCTCAGCGTGGGCCTGTGACAATCCACAAGGCTGAATCCCAGCCCCCGGGGTTGAGGTCCCTGTGGCTCTTGGTGAGGCTGCCACTGGGTTGAGGCAGAGTAGAGCAGGGCTGGTGACAGCTCCTAGAGTTCAGAGGAAGAAGGGTGCTATGGGATGGAGGACCAGTACTTTTTTGTTGTTATTTCATTATTTTCTTTTTTCTTTTTTCTTTTTTTTTTTTGATGGGAGGGTGGGAAGTACTCTTTATAATGGGGTAGGCCACACCCCCATTTCGTGCCTCAATTTCCCCATCTGTAAACTGTAGATATGACTACTGACCTACCTCACAGGGGGCTGTGGGGAGGTGTAAGGTAATGTTTGTAAAGCACTTTGTAAATAAACGTGCTCTCTGAATGCCACCCGGTGGCCGTGTGTGTGCGCGTGTTTGACCAGCTTGAGGGGACAGTGTAGGTCAGAGGCCTAGATTCTAGGCTTGGTTTGGTTTTTCTGTCCACCAGACAGCAGAGATATGGACCAGGGCATCCCCACTCAGAGTCCCTCCGAGGAGGTGGTTCCAGGGGACGCTGGTCCTGTTAGATACGCACCCCAGTAAGTACCTGACAAATATATACCTGATGAAGGCAGCTTCCGGGAGGAAGGGGTTATTTTGGGTTACAGTTCAAGATAACAGTCCACCATAAGTGAGTGCTCTAGTTTGGCTTCTGTGGCTATGATAAACATCATGGTCACCAAAAGCAACTTGGAGAGAAAAGTATTTATTTCTTCTTAGATTTTGCAATCCGTCATCGAGGGAGGCCAAGGCAGGAACCCAGGGAAGGAGTTTGGGTCAGAAACCAAGGAGGAACACTGTTTATCAACTTGCTTCCAGGCCGGAGTTCAGCTATCTTTCTCACATAGCTCAGGCTTGCCTGCCTAGGCATGGTACTGCCCACAGTGGGCTGGGCCTTCCCATGTCAATCATTAAGCAAAAAATGTCCCTCACAGACATGTGGCCACAGGCGATTCTTCAATTAAAGTTGCCTTTTCCCAGGTGTGTCAGATTGACAACCAGGATTAGGCATCACAGTGGCTCTGTCACAAGCTTGCTGTGTGTGTGCCCTTGGACAGGACACTTCCTGTTCTGCATCTCTCCTTTCACATGAAAACTGGCCTTATGATACACAGATTCTATTCTCATGCTACCTGACCTACCGTGAGTCAACACAGGGCCTCTTTTAATGGTTCCCAATTCAGTTTCCTCTAGTCTGAGCTAAAAATTCATTAAGGGGTGGTGGAGAGATGGCTCAGCAGTTAAGAGCATACATTTCTCTTATAAAGGACCTGTCACTCCAGCTCTGGGGGACCCAATGCCTCTTGTCTCTGAGGGTGCCTGCACTCATGTGCACAGACAGGCATGCATACACATGAATAAAAAAGTTAGGGTTGACCTGGCTTGCTTATAGACTGACCCCCACTTCCTCATTGTGAGCTGACTTGTAAGCCTTACCTGATCGACTCAGATGTGTGACAGAGAGACTGGTCAAGCCATGGAATATGACTTGCTTGGACCAATAGAATGTGGTGGAAATGGCAGAGTGTGGAGTCCAGGTCCCAAACCTGAGGCGTTCATTTTTACATTGTCCTGGAACTCTGCCCTATAAGGAAACCTGTGTAGCCTACTGGATGATTGAGAGCACCTGAAGGGGACACAGTGCAACTCCTGTTAGTGTTAGCAGCCAGGCCTGTGAATGAAGCCATCGTCGACCTTTTAGCCCAGCTGATTTGTTGGGTAAATATGATTAGTTAGAAGAGGCTGCCCGACAAACCTCTAGAACCTGGACTTGTTATAAACACGCTTTTCTTCTTCCAGGAAGTATGGGGATCATTTGTTACTCACCAAAAGCTTACTGATACATGTTGTAGGTGCACACATTGCTCTTTTCTTTGCCCTACACTGTTGAAGTTGTTGAGGACAGGGGATGCTTCTGTGTTTACCTTGCTGTATTTTTTGTCTAGCAAAGGGCTTGTCTTGAAGCTGGTGTTCTAGAGTTCCTGGCATTTGGAGGGAAGGAAGTGTGGGTCTGCTCACCTGAGTTTGCAAGGCTTTCAGAGGAGTTGGGGCCCAGCTAGGTATTTAGAGAAGTGCCAGCTCCAGAGCCAACAAGCCAAGGATGGTCCTTGTGGCCCTACAGTTAACCAGGAGGTGACCATGGACAGTCTCCTAAGCATGTCCTATGAATACAATGGTGCCCTTTTGCAGGATTGGCTATGAGGCAAAATATTTAAAAAGACTGAGTATACATCACTCTCTACTGACACCTTGTCCTTTGATAAAGGACATTTCATATCACAGTATAGGCAGCTCCCAGTTTACAATAGTTCAACTTAATGGTGTGTGTGTATGTGTGTGTGTGTGTGTGTGTGTGTGTGTGTGTGTGTGTGTGTGCGCGCGCGCGCGCGCGTGTGATGTGTGCACATGCCCTAGAATGAGCATGGAGGTCAGAGGACAATCTTCAGGAGTCCTAGGGATGGAGCCCAGGGTTCAGGCTTGGAAGCAAGCATCCTCATCTGATGCTCTGTCTCATCAACCTTTAATATATTAGTGTGCACTCTCTAGTGATGCTGGGTGGTGGTCATGTGACCAGAGGACAAGCCACCCCTACTCTCTGGGTACTGCATCGCTATGATGCTAGGTAGGTTAGGAGAGTTAAGGGCACTTTTGACTTAGGAGAGTTTCAATTTATGATGGGGTTTAACACAGTGGAAGTCAAGAGGTCTGGAATGGAGGCCCTGGTGAATAAGACAGTAACTGCTGCTTTGTTTTTTAAAAAAACATCGTGTGTGTGTGTGTGTGTGTGTGTGTGTGTGTGTGTGTGTGTGTGTGCGTGCGCGCGCGCGCGTGCGCGCGCGCGCGCATGCTTGTGAATGCTTTAAGTCCTATAAAAAAAGAATTAAACAGGATTAGAAACCATGTCTATGACTTCAAAGCCATGGCTCCCGTAATTGTTCCAGAAATTCCTGGGTATTTGGACCCAAACCACATCAGTTGCTGGACATTTCTCTCAGGCTGAAGTGAGCCTTCTTGATACTTAATGAAAACCACAGATGCTGGGAGCAGGTTTAACCCAGGCTCACAACCAAAGATCGCCTTGGGCTCAGTGTTTGGTTCCCTGTAGACCTGTGGAAAATGTTGCTGAATGAATGATTGAAGGCTTCAAATCTGCAGATGGCGGGGGCAGCCTGACTCAGCAGGAGCCAAGGAGCTGGGAGAGTCTTTTCAAGAAAATAAAATGCGTCTCGACTCACTTCCCACTTATCCCCAGGGGTGGGAAGAAGGAATCTGTCCAGGAATTTTATTTTCTGTTCATTTGAAAGTGGAACAATGTGGCTTTCTTGAGTGTGTTTGGTATGTGACTGCATTTTCTTTTTTAAGCGAGATGGAGACGGTGTTGATTCCTTAGGGCCCCAGCCCAGGCAAGCCTCTCTTTCAAAAGGCTTAGAAACTCATTTCTCTGCCTCCTCCTTGATAACTGTTTGCTCCCCCAACCGTCACACTCCACCCCTCCCCACTCTTCCTACCCCTTATACTCCTCCCCCACCCCTTCCACACCTCCCCAACCCCATCTGCTTATCACCCCTGAGATCTGAATGTACCCTTCTTTGCCCACTTTGGTATTGGAGCTGCTCTCTTGACAATCAGTCAGTAGAGGCGCTAGACCAATACCAGGGTGATTTGCAGTAGGAAAGGCCTTCCCTTCCAGGGTTGGGTTTTCCTTCCTTCCTTTTTGTTTCCTATGGCAAAGGCAAAGACTCAGTTCCCATCTCCTCTGTGACTCATGTGGGACAGCTCCAGATGCCCCCCCAAGGCTAACCTGTCCACACTTGGGAAGTTATTTACATATACCAAACATACATACTTGAATCTTGATCCAACTCCAAGGGCCATTAGTATAGTCCAGGCTAGCCCACATGGCCTGGCCAATTTCTTAGCCATTATAGGCTACATGTTCTGGTGGTCATGTCTCCCTCATAGCAGAAGGCTGAATGAGGGAGGTTAATCTCCCATTGCTTCTGTCCTTTAAAATTCTTTAAACATTGTTGGGGGGAGCTTGGCATTGGTGGCACACGCCTTTAATCCCAGAACTCGGGAGGCAGAGGCAGGTGGATCTCTGTGAGTTTGAGGCCAGCCTGGTCTCCAGAGAGAGTGCCAGGATAGGCTCCAAAGCTACACAGAGAAACCCTGTCGCAAAAAAAAACAACAAAAAAAAAAAAAAAAAAGAAAACATTGCTGGGGGGGGGTGGCACAGGCCTTTTCTTCCAGCTCTTGGGAGGCAGAGGCAGGGGGATCTCTGAGTTTGAGGCTAGTCTGGTCTACAGAGCAAGTTCCAGGACAACAGCCAGAGCTACACAGAGACACCCTGTCTCAAAAAACCAAGTAAAATTCGTTAAATGTTTATTGCTCATTTACTTATTTATTAATATCTATCTATCTATCTATCTATCTATCTATCTATCTATCTATCTATCTATCTATCTCTGTGTTGCCATGGTGTGTGTATATGTGTGGACAATTTGCAGTAGTCACTTCTCTCCTCCTACTGTATGGGTCTCAGGGATTGAACCAAGACTGCCAGGCTTGGCAGCAATCACCCTTTTCCAGTGAGCCATCTCACCAGCCCTTCCATCTGTTTCTTATTTACTTTGCCTCTGAAGAGACTTAACTGCTTTTCTTGTTTGCTGCCTCTGGGTCTTCAGAGTTCTCTGTGGCTGCTTTAGTGATTAACTGTCACTTGTTGGATTATTATTCTTGATATTAAAATGCTCAAGTTCATGTTCATATTATTATGGACACGAGCTCTGTCTCCTGACTAGGTCCTAATTGATACTGACGGGGGTGCAGGTGGTCCCAAGAGACAGGTTGATTGATTTCATTGTGCCCTTGGCCTTGAGCAAAGTGTTGAGCTCCTTGCCAACAGGAAACCAGAGACTCATAATCTATGGTGGCACTGTAATTATGCTGTCACCTGTGATGGACTTTGATTCAATGCCAACTGAAGCACATGTCTTGGGTGCCCTGGTAACTTCTGCACTTGGTCATTACCTCAGTCATGGTGATTGTGGGGCCATGTATGTGATGGGGAATGGATCCTTAAATGAGCTGGAGCACACACCCTAGAAAGCAAGTGACAAGGCCAGGTCATTTAATTCTCAGAGTAGATGATAGTTGGAGAGCCATGGTGTTTCTGTGTCATCTGCAAAGAAATCTTTGACTTTATGTAGCCACGGGGATGATACTGCTGAAAAATGAATCATAAAATTTGATTGTGTAGGTTGCATCATTAAAATTTACAATACCAGCAAGTGTCTTATGGGGAAATTTGGGGATGACTCATGGAAGACTTCAGTCCTCACACTTGGA